TATATATATGCTATGAAGGCATCATTTAAAATCAATGATCTTTTAGATATGTGTTTATACATTCTCTGTTCCATGTATAAAAATAACTGACCAATGGTTCAAATATTTTACTATAGAAACTCTCATTGAATTAAGACTGATTAAGAGTGGGCAAGCAGGTAGAGTGGTGATTAAGGTACTGGACTCTGACATGGACTACCATGGTTTGAGTCCTAGACCCAGTAGCTTGAAACTCACACCAGGTGCATGTGCAAGTATGTCCAAAATTGCAAATGGAGAACAGAGAAGGGATGGCAATGTGACCATTTCCCCTGGGGGATTATTTCTCCCTGTCCCTCTCTTTGTCTCTCTCTAATGAGTGAACATGCCGTAGTACATACACACACACACACACACACACACACACACAACTGATTGAGAACCACAATACAATGACAATAAAAACAAAAAGAGTAGGCCCAGTATCTAAACATATCATACCAGGATTTCTGATATACAAAACATAATGACCTTCCTATTATATGATTGTTCTTTTTTTTTTTTTTAGTAAGTATATTCATTTTAATTAACTCTTTCACACAACAATGATTCATTAAAAATACAGAGCTCACGGGACCAGCAGTTCATGTAATGGCTATGTCGCTGGACTCCCATGTAGTCAACCACAGTTTGAGTTCCGGACCCAGTGGCTTAAACTCATGCTGGGCGCGTGTGTGTGCGTGCCCAAGATCCCGAGAGGAGAACGGAGGAGAAGGGATTGCATGGTGTGGCCATCCCCCTTGGGGGGTGATTTCTTGCTTTCTATCTCTCTGTCTCTTTCTTTCTGGCGAGTGCAGACAAAAAAAAAAAAAAGTAAAAAAAAAAATACAGAGCTCAAAGGCCAGCGGATGACATGGTAGTTAAAACATTGGACTCCTACATGGCCAACCTTGATTCAAGTCCTGGATCTAGTGGCTTGAAATTCACACCGGGTGTTTGTGTGTGCATGCCCAAAATCCCAAGAGGAGAATGGAGGAGAAGGGATTGTGGTGTGGTAATCATTCCCAGGAGGTGATTTTTCACTTTCTCTCTCTCTTTTTCTTTCTCTGTCCATCTCTCTCTCTCTCTGACTCTCCTCGGCAATCACGTGCACCCCATAGCAAAACTTAAAACAAAAAAAACCATTTTGAGTTGACATTCTTGTAGAGGGACCATTGTCTATTTCTATTCTTGGTGTTCTTAATAATTTAGTATGATATTCTCATTTAAGACAAAAATGGCTTTGATTATCAACAGCCTTATAATAATTTTGTTATTAATTTACTTTTTACATTCAATCACTGTGTATCATTATAGCATACCAAATGAATTTTCCCATCATGAATATACTGCATATTGGTCCAGTCACAGATATTACCATATATATTTATAATCAAGGGATTTCTTTCCATTTTTACTTCCTTAAATGTTTTGCTTCTTTCTTCTTCCCTTTGATTGCCTCCATCTCACCCTCCTCCATTTCCTGCCCTGCTCGCACATGGTCTCCAGTATCACCATTTCTCTCCATGGTTTTATACCTCCCAATTGACTGTATTCAATACTTTCTTATTATCTTGTAAAAAGGTAGTATAAACTCTTCAAAATAAAGATAGACACTCATCACTTGGAAACTCTCACTGTTTACAAATGGTCTCAAACTCATCACTCTTCTAACATCTCAATATTTTTCCAAATGGTAGGAATTTTTCTTCAATGTATGATCTTTTAACTGTCTGCTTCTGGATCCCCTGAGATACTACTTAAGCATACAACTTCCTGGGCCCCAGCTCAACATGAATAAGTCAGAATCTCCAGGGTTGGGAGCTTAGCAGTGTCCAGTCTAATGTGTTTCTTGGGTGATTCCTTCCCCCCCCCCTTTCTTTCTTTGAGGATGTATGTGCTTATTGGAGAGAGACAGAGAAAGAGAGAAGGAAAGTAAGAAAGTACCCCTCCCCACCCATAGGCAATGGTCAATTGCTTTTTTTTTTTTTCATTTCTCCTTTTAGGGTTTTGGGCATGTACAGACACACCCAGTCTGTTTGTTAGGCCACTGGGTCTGGAACTCGAACCACACTGTTCACCAGGTGGGATGCAACTGCCTTAACCACCTTGTCATCTATTGACCCTCTTGGGTGGTTCTTATACATAGTGAAATTTGAAAAATTGGAATCCATCAGAATACAAGAAAATGCTGCCAATATTTTTTTAAAGTTTATTTACTTTTTCTGAAGGACATTGGGACAGAAAGAGAGCAAGTGCACACCCTTAATAGTGTCTTAATGCCATGATTCATCCCCAGCCTCTGCTAGCCCCAGATCCTGGGCACATGCATGCCAGACTACTCAGGGATGGCTTTGGATACCAACTTTGAACCTTCACATGTGGGTCAGCTTTGCGGCATGTCATGTTTTATTGTTGTACCACTGTCGAGCCCCTATTATCAGTTTTTCTCTGTTTTGGCTTTATAACTGGGAGAAGATGATTTTTTTTTTCTTTCACAAATTAACTTTTGGTTTCCTCATGGATCTATTAAATAAATGAACAGTTTTTACTGGCAGCAATTTGGGGGCTCTAGACAGAGACCCGGATATGTTATGGCGTAAGAAAAAATACACAAGAAATTAAAGTATCTAAAATTGCTGTCTTTCTTTTCTGTAGAAATTGGTAAAACGTGAAAAAGCTTATCGTTTTTATGGCTCTGTTATCACTCTGGGAACCACCATCCATCACTTTTAACATTCTCTCCGTCCTGCCAGTCTCTTCAGGAGAAATTTCTTACCTCAGAATAAGATGTGTGTTTTAATAGGGTTGATTCCATTTGAAGGAAAAACCAAAGTGCACTTATTATTTTATATTATGTACTATTTATGTATGTATTTAATATTTTTCTTTCAGAAATGGTTTTGAAAATTGATAATCAGTAAAATAATTAGATGATTATTTTCTGTTGTTAAAAATGATATTCTGTAAATATTTCTTCATTGAAAAAATATTTTTGCATGTTTTATAGGAATTACATTGCCTCCTAAAGGATGTATAGATATCTCAGTATTATTTATACCTCAAATCATGACATTATACAAAACAATGGTCATTGTTCAGATGACAAAAGCAAATAAAAGAAATTGGCGTATTGACAATTTTGATGAATTGAATCCAGAGATACTAAGGTAACAAATACACTGAAAAAAAAAATTGGTCTGACACTGATGTAATAGGTTTCTTGTATGTATTATACGTGTACAATGTAGAGCACAAATGATATGTTCTCTTAACTGCTGCAATTCATATGTTCAGAATAGGAAAATATGTTCTATCATATTGCTATATAGTTAATACAAATAATTGCTGGTTCAAAGTTCAGAATGATGTACAAGTCAATCTTAAGTACCATCACTAAATCAGGAGACCTGCAAAAGGATATATTTTTGACTGGGAACATAGTGACTGCTAAGATCATAAATAACCAATATCCATAGCACGACATTAAATAGCTTGCCTGGGCAAATGTGAGAGCTGTAGTGTTGGCATTCACTGTGTAGTGACACTTTACCAAGTGGATAGGACATCTTGTGGAAACACTGCCATGACTAGGAAATGTGCCATTGCCAGAATGCAGGTTATTTGTACCCTCTTTGCTTGGCTGAAATTTAAGCAAACTCTAATAAAGATGCAAAGTTTAAATGTTTTCTTTGCTTTTATACTTTAATTACTTAACAGTCTAGAAATCTTAATTTAAAATCAATTCTTATTTTGTCTTAAATGTGCACATTTCTTTCCCACATTTTAAAACAATTTACAGTGGGCCCATTGGTATCCATTGTGCCATGCATTTCACCACTCTTACAGTCAAGACTGGCTACATAATTTGTGGGTCCCAGTGAAAACTGAGAATGAGGCGACCCTTGTTAAAAAATTATCGTGAATTTCAAGACGGTTATGGTAGTGAATGAAACAAGCATGAAACTCTTCTAAGTGTGGAGTCTCATGTGATTTATGTCATACACAACATATCCTGCCTGCAATGGCTTGCACTTTATTTTAGCAAAAAAATTCCATCTTAAATGGCAATCAGAAATTTTTGAATATTGCTGTCTTCCTAATGAGTATATGACATACCTAGAATATCTGGATACTTACCTTTTTTATTTTCAATTTTTTTTTCATTTAATCACTATACATCTTTACAGTGTACATGTTTTTTGGAAGCATGAATATGGTGCATGTTGGTCAAGTCAAAGATATTACCATACATATTATTATCAACAGATAACTTTTCAGTTTTGTGTCTATTAAAATGTTTTGGGTTTTTCACCCTGATCTCCTCCTCTCCTCCCTTCCACCTCCTATAACTCACCCCTTATTATGCACCCCCTTCTATACTAATCTCTAGTATCTACAGCTGGCCTCCCTGCTATTATACCTTCTTTGAACTGGTGTCCTCCAAAGTAGATTCATTATCACTTTCCTAAAGTCTATACTTCATGGCATTTATTGAGAAATTGATTGCATATAATAAGTGTATATATTTATGTAGTACAATGTGATTTTTCAAAACAAGAATACAATGTTTTGTGGTTTGCCTGTTCAATTTAGAATATAATCCGTGAAGACTGTACTTACTCTCAGTAATCAGAGTTTGGTAGCTTAAATAAATACCAATACCAATCTTTAAAAGTAGGGGAGGGAACCAGCAGTTAGCGTAATGGCTATGTCGCTGGACTCCCACGTAGTCGACCGCGGTTCGTGTCCCGGACCCGGTGGCTTAAAACTCACGCCGGGCGCGTGTGCGTGCGTGCCCAAGATCCCGAGAGGAGAATGGAGGAGAAGGGATTGCGGCGTGACCATCCCCCCTGGGGGGTGATTTCTCGCTTTCTGTCTCTATGTCTCTCTCTGTCTGTCTGGCGAGCGCACGCGCCCTACAGTGAAAATCTCTCCAAAAAAAAAAAAAAAAAAGTAGGGGAAAAAACTACTTAATTTTAACTTACCTTTATCTTATGATGGCTTTATTACAGTTTTCTTTGTGATCATTTTCAAGTACTTGCTTTTAAATGTCCATAAAATCAATGTTTCCACACATTTTCTTTTTTAAATTTTGCTGGTTTCCCTTTGCCAAAGTTTGAATTCCTAAGGTTCACTAAAATACTACTAAGTTAATAAAGAATAAGATCTTTGTGCTCGCTTCAGCAGCACATATACTAAAATTGGAACGATACAGAGAAGATTAGCATGGCCCCTGCGCAAGGATGACACGCAAATTCGTGAAGCGTTCCATATTTAAAAAAAAAAAAAAAAGAATAAGCTCTTTGGTGCTAATATTGAAAATATTTCTCTTTTTGTTCACCCTAATATTTTCATTTCTAATTAGACCTTTGGGAATAGACAATGATGAAATTCAAGCAATATACTGGTTGTACCCTATTATTGGACTACCACAGGCACCACCTCCTAAATGCCCTCAAGGTATGTACCTTATAGAGTCAGAAAACATCAGAATTCTAAGGACCCTTATGTCTTCTAATTCCATCTATTCTTTGTAAAGGTAAAAAATGTGAAGTCCAGAGAAAGTAAGTAGTAAAGTGAGCAGCCCTGTTGGTTTGAGTCCTGGGTGACAAACCTGCTCTCTCTATAATAAGTCAAATGCCTTTTCCAAAATCACCCCATTTCTTGTTGCTTTTCTGTTGGTAAAACCCAGATATGAGCTAAGGTTGGAATGAAATTAATTCTAGACCTCTTTATCACACAGAACCTTGCACTAGATCTTTAAGACCTATAAGGCTCCCAGGACTTTTTTTTTTTCTTTTTTTTTTTTTTTTAGAGAGAGATTTTTGCCATAGGGCACATGTGCTTGCTGGAGAAACATAGAGAGAGACAGAGAGACAGAAAGCGAGAAATCTCCCCGAGGGGGGATAGCTATGCAGCAATCCCTTCTCCTCCATTCTCCTCTTGGCATTCTGGGCATGCATGCACACACACCAGGTGTGAGTTTTAAGCCTGAGTCTGGGACTTGAACTGTGGTCGACTACATGGGAGTCCAGTGACATAGCCATTACGCCAACTGCTGGTCCTGTCAGATCACTTTTAATCACATTCCAGTTTCTGTGTAACTCTTGGTTTCATCTAAGAACCATCCTGTGGGAATTCTGATGCCTCTTTTCTTGGTTGTCTCAGGCTCAACACATTATGATGGAATGAACTAAAGCCTTCAGGGAGGTTTACATTGCCAAGATACACATGACACAAGATCCCTGCTCTTAAATATCTTTCTTTTTCTCAATGACTCTCTTTTCCTCCATATATCCCAAGCTTCTCTCAAGTTTCTATGTGTTCTCCTTCCTCAATATTCTTCTGTCCTTCTTCCACGAAGTCCTTGATTTTCTTATTTTCTTCCAAGAAAGAGTCTAAAAACTGAAATTATTTTATTCATTTTCAATAACCATACAGAAAATTTAATATACTGATCTCTTACCAGGCTTTAAGTATAGTTCTTCATAACTAAGATGAACTGAATTGCCCTGCAAAGCAAAGGAGTATCTACTTTGGGTCTCCCTCTTGAGCAACACAAGAGGGAGTAAAACAAAAGTCTTGGATTTTTGCTTTTTGTTCTTCCTCCAATACTAAAACGGTTTCAAGTTTCGCTGTCATAAATTATGTTACCCAACTTAAAATAGAAGAGAAACTAATAAGATTTTCTTGTAAATAAAGCATTTCTCCAGATACACTAGTTATAAAGGGAAGCCAACATTATATATTTCCTTTGTAGTTTAATTTTAACTGAAGTAAAAAATGCATGTATATCCATGTATACCTTTGAAAATATATGTCATTTGTTTTACTTGAAGTGTTTTTACTTTTGAGTTAAAAAATTATCAACGCATACATAAATATTTCAAATGTACTAAATTATCTTCAGAATGTTTCACAAACATGTCAAAATACTTCTTTATTTCCTTCTAGAAGATAGTTGATTGTATACTTCCCATAGAGCTGAACTGTTTAAAATTTATAATACACAGTCATCTGATCAAAGTGATATAATAAAGCCTAGACATTACTCTGTTGGAATTCTAATACTAGTGTTACAGTTTTGTTTTCCCCATACTAAAGGTTTAAGCAAAAAATTTTAGTCTAAAACAAAGCCTAAATGAATATAAAAACACACATTTCTTGAATATCTTTCTTCAAAGAAACCTACACATGTCCCAGAACATTTTCTTTCAAATCACTTTTGGCAATTACGATATTTGATTTTTATATTAAATATGAATTCTCTAAATAAGCTATGTTAGATTTGCACAACCTAGTAGTAATATCAATGTTCTGATATAGATCATGTATGAGTTATTAAATTACTATTGCAAAAATCTAAAATCTTTGCTAGTAATTATTTTAATCTAGAAATACTCTTAAAGACCAGCTCTGTGGCCTAAGTGGATAAGGGAGCTGGATCCCACAAGGATGACCACATAATTTAAATCTTGGCCCCAGAAGTTTGAAAAATACACTGGGCACATGCCCCAGTTCTCAACAGAATGGAGAAATAGAGAAGGGATGCAGTGTGACTACACCCATTGGAGGGTGCTTTCTCTCTCTCTTTATCTCTGTCTCTCTGGCTTTCTCTGCTGAGTATACTTGCCTTCTGGGAAATAAAAAAGAAAATACTCTTAAGAAGCAAGTAGGTATAATTTTATAAATACATATTATTTACTATATATACATACAGTCCATTCTCCATTCTGTTTAATAACTCATCAAATATAACCTAT